CCCCAAAACCCCAAAACCCCAAAACCCCAAATATTTATATTATAATTGAGATAAGAAATGGAAAGAAAGATTAGAGAAAAGCTTAAATCTGGATGTATAGTTAAAGAGTATTTCATAATTTTATAATGCATTCCAAAATTTGTATAAACAATGTTGTTTATCATTTATTTTTATCGTTTTTCAATGAGATATTTTGAAATTCGAATAGTTAAATCAAATTCATCGCTTTCATTTGAAACTTTTATTGCCTAACATCATACTAATTTAGAAGAAATGTACTAAAAATATCAGAAAGTGAAGTTTTTAAGGAACTTGCTAAGCAAACAAGTCTGAGAGTAGAAAGTATGAATACTTCATCATTGGAAAAATAAGGATGAATCCATTATTAAAAAGAGACCTACAAAGGTGACGAAACCTAAGAAATCGATCTGAGCAATCAATAGAAAGGGACATCTTATTGACAATTTGAAAGTAGAAGCTTCCGGAATGCTGAGCCCTAATCCTCGCCTACAACCAGATTCAGGTACTGTGAGTTTAATTTTGTAGCAAGCTTCTAAAAAATCAAAACTTTGGAGCAAAGTAAAGCAAGTTAGAATGAATTCATTAAGAAGGCCAAGAAAAAGCAAGAATCATTCAAAACCAAGTAAAAGTTACAATTTTATATTATTTTTAGAGAATAAAACTTTTGAAAATCTTGAAGAAGAGAACATTCATAAATAAAATGAAGTATCTTACTTTGGCTTATACCTGCATAGATATTTTTATGGTCCTTATGACTCAAGAAGATGCGAAAATTGTAGACTAAATGTTAATATTTAGTTGGACTTTTGAAAGATTTCGAGTCAAATATGAAATTTGAAGATAGTCCTGATAATACAGGTGCTTGGAAGAATTTGGGCGATTGTATTCTAGATTCCAAAGAGCAACTGTATTATAGAATTATCAGATTCCTGAAGAAAAAGAACAAAAGAGTCATTAGACATAATAAGACTAAACCTCAAAAGAATGTTAATGATAAATAAGAAGAGTATCAAAATGATAAAGAGGAGTAATTTCTATTAATTTTTAGAGAGTAATTAAAGTATGGAAACCAATAAGGGCAAGCAGCAAAAATAGTCATGGAATATCATTTCCTATATCTAATAAGCCTATTGCTGATATGAGAGAAGATTCAGATGGATCAAAATCAATTGAAAGACCAATTGAAATAGTTGAGAAAAATGAAGATCTTAGAACAAGAGAAATTATTAGGGATAGCATTTTCTCAATAAATTCTGTATCTAGCAGAGATATTAGAAATGACCATCATAAATCTATCTCTTCAAAAAGCGATGAAGAAGTTCCTTTGATCAAACTGATCTCTCCTAATGATAACAAAGACAATCTTGAAAGAGATATATTACTGGATGAAATAGAAGAACTATTTGATAAAAATCATAGCTGGAGTTCTCACAGTAATTCTCTTTCGTCTAAGTCCCAATCATCCAAGTTAGCTAAAAAGATTAGCTTGAAATAAAAGGCGATCGAACAGGAAGTAAATTTTGAATTGGTTAATGAAATAGCAAAAAGAACTTTACCCAAAAGAAAAGCATTCTTCGAACACAAAAAACCAAAAAGTTCAAGAAATCGAAGATGCTGAAGACTAATACCATCATTGAACTTCTCTCAAAACCCGTAAGAATACTTTAAATAGAGGAAAATAAATTTAATGATATGTAGGCAATTGAGCAAAACCCAATATCATTGAAGCGAATTACTCTTGATTATTATGGAATCCAAAAACACACCTTTGGAAAAAGTTTGCTAGGAGAAAAACTTAAAGGTATTAGTGAGGAAGTTAGCAAAGAAAGCTCAATTGATGAAACGGATGAAATTCAAAACAATGAATCTTCAAGATTTTCGAAAGCTACTCTTCCTTCTCATTTGACGACTTTACAGTATCCGAGGACTGTCGGAAGTCCTCCAATTAGATCTCATCTATTACAAAGTAGAATACCTGGGGCTCCTAAAGAGCCAAAAATTTCATCTCCTCTTCCTTCAATTCCTGTGGCAACCAAACCGAGCCAAATAAATCAACAACAACACACACAAAACAAATTTTGAAAATTTAAAAATTCAAGAGGTATAGAATCTAATCTAGTGTCTCCTTTGTTATAAATTTTCGCTTTTCCTCATATAATTTTTCCCATTCAGGATCAATAATATCATCAAATTCTAATGAAAGCCCAGATACTTCACAATTCACCAAATACACTCCTATTCTATCTCCAACTTCATTAATCTCTCTAAACCCTGTCTTGTCAACAAAGTCCATCTCCAGGCTATCAAAAGTCAGCAATGTAGCTAAATAAACAAAGCTCCAATAATCTAATCAAGACAGGCCAGATTGCTGACACGAGCAAAAGCACAAAGAAGGAAGACGATAAAGCTAAAGATAAAATGACTGAGTCTAGAGTCAGGATAATGAAGCAAGAGCTAGACCAAACCTCTCCTGTTAGAATGGATGATAGAGTTAGACATAAAGGAAAGGGTAAGATATTGGATGGACTTAAACACATTTGAATATTTACAGTTGAGATTTGATGGATGTTTAGGGTTTGATATTGCAAAATGAAGAATTGGTAGATCAAAAGAAACTTATATTAGAAGTATAAAAGATAAAGTTTTGGCTTTTAAAGATCAAAACTCAATGCAAGAGACAATAAAATAACAAGAAAGACTTTCTTGAAAAATTTATTGTTGAGAAAGAAATTCATAAACAGTCTTCTTTTGTAAGGAAAGCATATAAAAGAAATACCCCAAAGATTTTATTTCCTAGAAAATCAAAAGGTCCCAAAAAGAATAGATTTTTATCTCCAAAAGTTTGGAATGACTGGTTAATCGATCAGAATTGCCAGAGAAATCAAGTCCAGAGTGTCCAACTATCCCCAAAAGAGCTTTTAAGTCTTGATGAATTGTCATGTAGCCACGAAGAAGCTATAATGAAAAATATTATTAGCCATCAAAAGTAAGAACATTTTAACACACTTTAGAGATGGAATTAAAAAGAGAAGCATATTTACCCCACCAAATGTCCGTTTGTATTCTCCAAAAGTATCAATAAACTCAGTGTTTTCCAATCCAAATTCGGGCTCATTCTTCTCTCCCAAAAACTCAATGAAACTATTCAAATTCTCAAAATCAAAGTAAGTCTCTCATTCAAGACCACAATCTCTCACATCAATCTAGAACCAACAAGAGATGACCACAAAGAGCATTTTCTGCTTCGAAACATTCAGTGAACCCAGGATCTGTATGACTGACCCAAAATTCAATTCTGTTCTTATAATAACTGCTCTCTAAACCACTTGTCCATTCTTTAATCTTCCTATTTAAAACTGTTTATTTCTTAAGCATACATCTTTCAGCAGGAATTCATATTGTGGGGATAAATATTTATTAACCACAGAAGGGTTGTGTATGGAATCAGCAAGAGAAATTAGTGTATCAGGAGAGTTATACAGAGGGTTTGAGAGAGGTAGGGGTAATCGTAGAGCAAAATCAAGGGATATTGGAATTATGGGCTATAATTATAAATATATACGTTAATTATAGAATGAATGAAATAACAAAATTTAGTTAAATAAAATAAACATAGGAGAGATAAGAGCATGTCATTTTGGCAAAGGATTAAATTGTGTAAATATTTACAAAATTATCTTCATACTATTCATCTATTTTGCCATAATATAGCAATATCTTAGTTTCAATGAACTGGTTTTTACCCGGGGTTTTGGGGTTTTGGGGTTTTGGGGTTTTGGGG